ATATATATATGCAGTTTTATTTGTAAACATTTTGCGAATGCTTTTACATAGGTGCCTTTGTTGCCGGTTTGGATGCTGGGCTGGTGTATAACTCCTTCCCTAAAATGGGAGATCGGTGGATCCCAGATGATCTGCTGGCTTTCTCTCCAACCCTCAAGAACGTCTTTGAAAATCCCACGACGGTGCAGTTCGACCACAGAATTTTGGTGTGTTATTATTTCTGAAGAGAAATAATGTACCCTTCTTCTATCCCATTCAGTAGGTTGTTGATGGTCCGCTGTGTTTCTTTATTTTTCCAGGCGATCTCTTCTTTGACCGCAATTACAGGCCTGTATCTGTTCTCCCGGAGGATGATGCTGCCCAGGAGGGCTAAGATGGCCATCAGCCTCCTCGCGGCAATGGCCTATGGACAGGTAGGCTGTCAGTCAGCCCGGGAACATGTAACCTCAGTCCATTACTCCTCAGTGTAACTGAACTCCCATGTGTTTGTGCTCCTCAGGTTGCCCTCGGTATCAGCACCCTGTTACTGTATGTCCCCACTCCACTGGCAGCAACGCACCAGTCTGGATCAGTAGCCCTTCTCTCACTGGCCATTTGGGTACTGACAGAGCTCCGCAAGATGCCCAAGTAAAAGCCCGCTGCTTTATGGACGGAAGCAATCCCCACTAGCCACAACTCGAGCCTCTACGAGCAGTGACCTTATGAACAAGGCCTTCAGAGAGAAAACAAAAGCGTTGAAAATGTAGAAATGTTTTATTTAACGCTGGACTATTATGCATAATTAGGCTGAAGCATCTCTCCTGTGGAGCTGCAATGTAGTCCTCATGTGGTGACATTGAATTATTTTGGTTGTGGTTGCTCACCTATTGCCTTCTCTGGTCATACACTGCCTGTTAGTTGAATCAGATGTGGCTGTTGGGATTATGTGTAAAATAATGTATATTTAAGTTATGAACCATTTCTTGTTGATGTGATGATGAATAATAAGGTAAAAATATGTAAATTTTGATTGTTGCTTTGTACTCTATATTTGGAAGTGTAAGGCTAAGAACACTTATTTTAATAAAGACAATTATCTACCCTCATTGAAATTCAAATTTCAGTCCATTTTGCATAGTAACTGTGAATTTTATTGTCTCTGTACAAAATATACACATTTTGAATACGTAATGCAACCAGTTGAGGCTAGCTAACTAGACAGTCAGTACAACAGGTTAGTAGGTTTTCAAGACACAGTACATGCGGGTATAGACAAGTTTTACTTGTGGTCAGGAATGGAAGTTAAAAACTATTGGCAAGGAACAATCAGCCAAACCAATTTTCCCCCAGAGAAAAAAAGTTAAAGAAAGCAGAACAGAAAATGGCAGGGTTGGAAGTGCATATTTTCATCAGAGCTTGAGTGCACCCTATACTGTGCTATGAGAGGAGAGTTGCTGATACGTGGTAAAGAACATTATTGCTATATCATGTCAGCATGTCTGCATTTAAAAGATACTATAGCCTATTAAATTGCGGCTTGAGCGTCTCCGTTACTTGCACCACTCTAGATTGAAAAGAAGCTGTTTTTGGAAATATACTGTCAGAGTTAGCAAGAGAGCTGAATTTCATCAGCAGTCCCATCAGTGTTTGCAAATTCTTTATATGTCTATGGGTTTGCAACGTAAAACTAAACTTCAGTTTGGACAACGTGCAGATAAACCACATCGCCACTTACCAAAATTATATCCTTTTATCTCCGATTGCCCCTTGCCCTCCATACTACACAGCATCTCCCTCTCTCTCACCCACAGGTGGGCTATATATATCTGAACTCAGAGTGGCTGTATATACCTCTTTAATTTATATCTTCTCTTTGGTGTTACAGGAAGAGGGAGAATACCGCATGAGGGGGGGCATAAAAAAACTGTTATTAAACCATGTCTCTCTCACTAACAGTACACACACATACTACGCCACTTGAAATTGAATCAGCCTAATTTAATAATTCTTTTTTTTTTTTGAAGTGGTAGAACCTGCTACAGCCACATGACATTTCCGATTACAAGAAGTTCACAAATACAATCTGAAATCTAATAAATTCCCCTTGAATGTACATCGATAGACTAGTACGACTGTTATGCTTGTCCTGTGTTGAGAGAAACTTGGATGGTCAAAACAGCTCCTCAACTATTAGTACAGTCCCCACGTTGTGCTGCCTAATATCACACCATTGGGAATGCTAGAAAATGTACAACAGTCAATAGACACCTACAGCTAGGACTGTAATAGTTTGGAAGGCTCGGAATTATCCTACCAGAATCCCATGAATGGAGGTGGGTGTTGTACCATTAGACTCTTACATAGGTAAGCTGGAGGACATCTCCTTTTGTTACACATGCACACACACATACGCAAAGGGTGAGGCACCTGTGAATGACTAGGAACAGCAGACACACAAGCAGACTTTGGAGTATCTCTGTAAATACATAATTGGATATTAGTGACATCATCATGCGATATTGTAATCTGTTCCTCATGGAAAACAACATGATTTGAACCTCCATCTGTAAAAATCACTTTGATCTTCAATTTGTCAGTTGTTTCCACAGGAAGTGTCCTTCTCCGTCTCGTCCACAAGAGGGTGGTAGATTCATTTCTATTTCTATGGCCGGTGCGCGAGCAGTCTAGCGGCTCCTGGGAGGTGTTACCCACACACTCATAGACAGGATCAGATTCACAAATCCAAATCTCTGCCATCACAGGGAACAGTGAGCTCAGATGAAGGTTTGGAGGCAACGTCCTCCCTTTGAGTTCAGCCATTACAGGCTGTGATAGTTCCTCCATCGGTAATAGTAATAAATAAAAGTTAGAATAAAACAGGTGGGGGGTCTTACATGTGCCAGTTCATGTGAGGCCGCTGCTTGCCTTCTTTCTCTGTGCCTTTTTGGGTAAAACTAAGGTTCGGCATGATGAGGAAATGGGTCGGGGGAACTCCATTGTTGCTTGGAGAAATGTCACTGGGGGTCTAGGAAGCGGGAGACGGCCTCTCGGTGCCCTGAAGGCTCACAGCTCTCAACAGACATACAAGCACAAGCTTGCAAGTCAGAAGACACACACACACACACACACACACACACACACACACACACTTTCTCTTTTCAATCCAGATTCCTTTTACACACAAGCTCCCCTCCCTGATGCCAGCGTACTCTCTGGTCCCGATTCTTAGATGACGTTGTCAAACAGCTGCATGGACTGCATGATGCTCTCATCCTAGACAGAGAGAAGGGGTTTGGATAAGGTGACATTCCTTCTGATGTGTTGATTGATTGACATAGGGGAAAGTAAGAATTAAAAGTTTAGTGAACCAGTTATAACAGCTAGCCTTGCTATGTCCAAAGTTAAAAAATAAAATCCACCTACCAGCACCTCTAAAGCTCACTTAGTGAACATGTTATTTCTCTTTTGTTTTATCTATACACAAACAACATGCAATACGACAAATTATGATTGTACAAGAGTTATGTGGTGTACATATTGCCAGACGCAGTGGAGTGCAGTCACTGAAAATCCTTTCAGTCTTTATGCTGAGCTACGTTTATCTGCTCCTGGCTCCAACTGCATACTTAACACAAAGTCAAGGAAGTGGTGTCAATCTTCTCATCCAACTCTCTGCAAGAATGCAAATAAGCAGATTTAAATGTCGAACTGTTTCCTTTCCACCCCACCTTTTTGCATGACTCGATGAACTCTTCTATAGTGACCACCCCGTCCTTATTCCGGTCCATTTTCTGAAAGAAAAATGTAGCAGCCAAATTCGTACTTACTGACATTTTTTGTAAATAACTTGTAACAATACTTCTATCAGTAATCTTTCTATAGTTTAAACAATCATAAATTGAGGCGTTAATACAAAGTAAAGACTGTTGACCTGGAAGAAGCTCTCCACGTGTTCTCTTGGAATGTCGTCCTGCATAGTGGGGTATGTGTACTTCCCCATCATGTCATAGATGGACTTCATGATGTCCAACATCTCCTGGAGAGTGAAAGACAAAAGGGAGAAATATTATAAAGGATGTAAAAAAACAATTTGAGGCTGGGCTATGGCAATGTCACCACAATGTCACCACATGAGGACTATGTTTATATATTTTGCCTTATTTGATTAACCAAAAATGATTTAGTATATTATACACCGTTAGTATTATTTAATTTTGTTGGTGAAATACAACATCGGTGACCATTTCCTTCTAGTCAAAAGAACTTGGTTATGTAATGGCCATATACACCCAGGGTACGTTTGACATACTGGAGCACAGTTCTAACTTTCAAAATAAAAGTTGACGTATTCAACAGGTCATTATACTGGCAGACATTTCCACACCTGTTTTCCACCAAACTCAAAATGTAGAAATAGTAATAGGGAGACTCCACATCCCCCAAAATACTGAGGACATGACCGACAGCACTGCTGAGAAACCATTACAGCAAGTCATTGAGAGGAAGCAAAGAACAGTGTAACATCTGTGTGCACGTTACCTCTTTGGTGATGCAGCCATCTTTGTTCAGGTCATAGAGGTTAAACGCCCAGTTCAACCGGTCATTAATGGTCCCTCTCAAGATGATAGACAAGCCAAATACAAAGTCCTGAGATAGAAGGGGAACAATTACCTGTTTTGTTTTGGCATTAAGTCTTAACACAGTAAATGCAGTCAAATCTTCATCACAGCACTAATCTCTGTGGACACGTTTTTAGCGCGAGTACATGTGTACGTGTGTGGACACAGTCATGGTGGCAGATTTAACCGGAGCACACATTTGCTTTTATCTCTAAAAATGAAGCCGATATAAGAATAGAGCTCACCTCAAAACTAACTGAGCCGTTGTTGTTAGTGTCGAAGGCTTCAAACAGGAAATGTGCATACATACTTGAATCTGCAAAGGTAGAGACTTACAGTAACCCGTGTGCCCTCGAAACATGAAGCAAAGTCTTTGAACAGCTTGGATTAGCAGCCAGCTAAATATAGCCAAGATATAAGAATCATTTCAGACACAACTGGAGGCAAGTGGTTAACATTTCATCAACCTAAATATCATGAAATGAAAAATTGCCTCCCCTCTTTGCAGTGTATTGTTCAGCAGAGCATATTTATAATGAGTTCATTACGTTAATTTAATTGTGATGACAAAAAGCTCCATGTGCACGTTTACAAAATGAATGCTGTTATCTGAAAACATATACATTTCTGAAGACAGAAAGAATGGTGTAATTGAAGCATTTTGGACACAGTTTGGGCTCTTCCGGTTTGGCAGTAGGAGTTGACAACTCACCTCCCTGTGGAAAGAACTGGGAGTAAATGGTCTTAAAGTTCTCCTCATTCACCACACCACAGGGACACTCCTGGGACACAAATGTGAATTGAGAAACCTCATTAGTTACCACCTACCACAAAATACAAATCTCAACTCCCATTATAATCTAACTAGCACCAGACTTTTTATGTTTTATTTTTATTTTCTGCCTTGTCACTCTCTTCTCCAGCCAGACCTACATTTTTGAAGCCCCTGTAGAGGACTTGCAGCTCCTTCTTGGTGAACTTAGTCTGCTCCTGCAGCTTGTCCATGCTTTCTGGGCGATGACACACGGTAGATAACTCAAAGTCATCTTCCACGCTGTCTGTGTGAGGGAGAGACACACTGTTAGCTAGCATTCATCATCACTGCACCCACACCAAACCTCCAGGGCAGCCGTGACCAGGCCGACACATTCTTTTATGAAGCAATCAAACTGATATTGAGCTCATCATACAGTGTAACAAAATAACATTCTTTATTCACAACAATGTTCATCTTTTTATCATTATTATTTCACTCAATCAATACATGAGTGAATCCTGTTTTCTATATACATAGTTTTGAGGTTGCTAAGTCAAGCATTGTCCACACATCTTTGTCCAAGCGAAGCAAAACTTGGTCAGTAAAGCATCTATAAAAGGACTTCTTGACTTTCAAGTTTAAGAACACTGGAGAGAGGGATACCGAGAAAGTGAGAAGAGGCTTAACATGAATGAAAATGGTAAAGAAGAGGCATCTTAAAAGCTGTGGAGACACCTCATTCCACCTGTTTCTCCAAAAAATACCTGTCAATAACTGCACACACACACACACACACACACACACACACACACGTTCCATTGCCCAACGTAACAAAACACGTTGAGTGTGTTCCTGTATGTTGTGTTCACTGAATGTTTCGCTGGCTAAGCGTACATGACTGCATCCACACAAGCATCTGTACGAATCCTCTGAATTCCCTATAGAGTTGTAGAAGAAAGTAGAAATGTATAGAGAGTGTAGGAGCACTTGCTTTCACTGATTGAGGGGACAGCCTCGGGCTTGCAGCATGGCAGCAGCTTGAGGAATCGCTGCTTTATGGTTTGTTTGCTTTGGCTGGTGGAAGGATTACCTGTAATCACCAACCATATCACAAGGGTTAAACACACACACACACACACGCAAGTCTGCAAATTAAATTCTGTTTTCACACACACATGCCTGTAAAAACCAATAACACACTCCATGCAACGGACAGATGCAACAACAGACTGATTCATGCCGTTCAGTCAAATTGATAGTTGCCTGCTGACCTGGCTCAGCGATGGGAGACCATGAATACCACTTCAAACGGTTGATATTACACAGCAGCAGCACAGTGTGACCCCTAGAAACACACAGTTTCACTAATCAGACCGGCTCTCTCGTCACGATGCCACATTCAGCAAACTGTATGAAAAACCAGCGGAGACCATCAAACCCAGACAGATGTATTGCAAAACCAACCAGAGCCCATCGCGTCTACCACCACACCAGTTCATCTCAAATCAAACTTCACGATGCCCATCTCGGCAAGTTTCACGGAGTGATAATGAAAATCGGATCGAGGAAGTAAAACACATTCACACACATGAACCCATGTACTTACTCTTGCTTAGTTTCCATGGTAACAGTCCCCGCACCCCTTTTAGCAGGACCCAAGCGGTCTGAGGGATGAAGGCCATGATGGGGTGAAAAACAATAGAACCACAGCACCTCTACTGACTATATGATGTGATGTATGTGATGTGTCACCCTGTTTTCTCTCTGCTTCATGGAGCCTCCTGACCTGTGGCTCGGCATCATTTGGAGCCAGAACAGGCCGAGCACATTGCTCGATGGACACCAGAGTAATACATCCAGCCACCTAGCACAGGCCCAGCCCTCAGCTGTCTGAGTGAGCTAGTATATATTGTTTTTTTATGTGGACCCAACAGCTGCCCATGATACAGAAATGAATATCAAATACTTTGACCATCTGTCAAAAAGTACAAAAATGAATCAGAGTAAATCTTAATTAATCTATAAAGTAAACTTAACCTTTAATTATGTCTGATGGCAGAGTAACTACAATGTATTTCTGAGCAGTGGTGGATGTAGCATTTTAACGTTGTAACTGCTTGAGGTGAAGCTAATCTGGCTCCAGACCAGCTACTAAACGGACCATTGGGTGAGATTCTTTTATACTATTGTTGCTTTATTTGTTAGTTGCTGCTGCATAACAAAGTATCATATCTGCATCATAATAAAATACATCATATGTTTTGTTTTGTATTTATGTAAATATACAATGTAAGTACCAACTAGAGCTGAAAAAATACATGTAGAGGAGTTCAATTTACAATAATACAATTTGCAAGATACAGTGAAGGAAAGTAAGAAGTAGCAAACAAAAACATCAGTAAAGTCAAACCTCAGAACTGTACCTACACACAATACTTTAATAAATGAATTGCAACCAGTGGTATATCTAAGAGTATCTAAAGTTTGGTAAAGTATTGTTTGATGATATCTTTAATCATTGTGAAATACATTGGTAACCTTCACAGATGTGTTACAGATGCAGTTTGTCTCTCGGTGTAGCAGACTAAATTAAATTTGATTGTTCTGAAGGCCTGGACAGAGAAAGGTAAGAAAAAAACAACTTCATGAATTCTCCTTCCTCTGCTCTGCATGGAACACTGAGCTTGAAATACTTGTAAGGACTATGAAAGCTGAATCTACAGGAAACTGTCAAAGCTTAGATATGCTTGTTTTAGGACTGAGACACCTTTTCCTCTCTCCCTTTTTCACAGCTCTTTCTCTTTTTCCCTCTCCCGTTTCTTTCTCTGTAGTTTTGTCCTTTGCTGCTGGAATCGTGCTCGTTGGGATGTCTTTGAGTAAATGTGCTCTGGCTGTCTTAGCCAAGTTTGTCTTGGAATAGAGATGTTTGATCTCAGAGGGATAAACCTGCGCACAGACATATCTCTTTAAAGTCCCCTATAGATCATAAAGCATGCCCCAAAAACATCTTGCAACACATTATCTACTGAACTAAACTGATGTTGTTTTAAAGCGTACTATCAGCTTAGAGTTTAAAAAGATGCAGTGCTTAATATGGAAGTTGTTCATACGAGCAGATTGCTGGTTGGAAACTGTCCTTTGTTGAAAACAAGTAGGTTACTGCGCTCATTACACCATTGACGTAACGTGATTTGTTTCCCAGCCTTTGAAGTTAAAATTGTTTTTTGAGTGGCACTGAAAATTACACAAGAAATTCTTTTATTTTGGCCTGAGTAGGCAAGAAAAAACACAATAAAAACCTATAGTGTATTCCTCATCAGGGAGGAAAAAAAGCAATTTTCTGTGTTCCTCAGCATTAAGACATTCTTACCCAGCGTGATCTGTAGTGATTGTACAATTAGAGTTCAATAGTTTCCACCAGGGTACACCGACAAACCATCACAACTCTTCAGGAAATAAGAAAAACAGCTCTATTTTTAACTTGATGGCAACACATTTTTTGGCAATATCCAGTAACTTTTGAAGAAGCTCCGTGTCTCGTGAACTCAAGAGATCTGAGGATTTTCTCAAGGCACAGAGAAACTGTCAACTAAAGTGAAGGCGGCAAACATATTACAGTGAAACAGTATACTGCAGATCCAACATTGAACCTTTCAGCTATCTCTAGGCCCCTCTGATGATGAGAACGGTGCAGTTTTCACAAATATTGGGATAAAATTAGAATTGATGGACAATCTGCAGTTTCGAATGAGGCCTAGAAACTATACCTAATGCCATTCATTTCCTCCCACTTGTCCTGCCCATCTTCACCATTAACTGCACTCCATTTATTAAGTATTGCACTTCCATAAATTCGGGGGACTCACAGGAGGCAAAAAAAGAAACAAATGCTGAAAATCAATGCAGCAGGGGCAGAGAAAAATATGGCTTATATGGTCCAGCATATGGCTCAAGCTTTTTTGTTAGCATCTCACTGGAAAGAGCTTCCAATATTGCATAGTTTGATCCTGATGATATTTTCAGACTTAAAAAGTTCCCTCCAGAGACACAGAAGTCATTATACTGAGTGCCCCTTTAAGCAAAAAAACGAAATAAAAAAATGTAAAGCACATCCTCATCACAGTAAAAGGAGCAAGTAAAGTTCATGTTTGATCAAATAATCCGCAGACAGAAACCCTTAGTTGTAAGAAGTAATGTATTGAATGATACATTTCAGAGATGTTGTTTTCCAAGTATATGGGCCGACATTAAGATGTGTTCTGGACATGAATTTTTCATTGAAATGTATTTTATTTTTTTAAGTTTCGAATTTCTTTTGTGTCATAATAAATGAAGCATGATAATCAGTAGTACCATTCTGCACTAATATGTGAGTTAGAGAGGTGTATACCATATGTACTTGAGTATTTCAGTCTCAGACAAAGCCCACACACACTCACACACACACACAGACACAAACACTGGAGGGCATAAATAGGTATGAGAAACACGACAGCTATTTAGTGAAGAAATTAGGCCACACGACTCAGTTATGTTTAATCCTAACAAACACACACGTAGACACTCCCCTTTATAGCTGAGTGTTTTTCCTCCTAATGTCCCCTCAACAAATTCATCATTTTGATTTCTCTCTCGGCGCCTCTCTCTCGCTCGCTTACCGTTTCCCTTACCTGGCGTGGAAATGTCGATAAGCCCCAGAAAGTGCATCAGTTTGAGGGAGCTGCAGACCACCAGGAGGATGCCCACCGTCTGAAGCCCCTCCACCTCCCACTTTTCTTTAAGGAACAGATACATCCTTTCCCCCTTCCTCTCCCTCCGTGACTGTCAACCAAAATCTTCCTCTTGCCCCGGGGCAACCACTTCCCCCCCCCTCAGCTTCAACGAGGAATGCACTGTCTTTGTCTCTTCAGTATCTCCTCTCAGTCTCCCTCTATATGCCGGTATTCCTCCATCCTAACTCTGCATGGCTCCCCGCCCGCTTTCTTCTCTCAAGGTAGATTGTTATTCTCTTCGCACCTTCATCGAGAACGGTAAGTGCGTGGCAGCAGGACTGTCGACTTGCTGCTCCACCCCCGCCACCTCCAAGGCTGTCAAAGGTTGTTTAAGTTCCAGGTGAAGTTCGGACAATTCACTGTGTGTGTCCTGGCAGTTTGGCGGCAATTGTTTTGCGAATCTCTCTCTCTCTCTCTCTCTCTCTCTCTGCTTTTCCAGCAAATGACTCTCAAACTCTCTCTACTCTCTGCCTGTCCTCCCTCTCCCTCTTGTCCCTCCGTCACTCTCCTCCTGCTCTGTCCCTCCCCA